TTTTGGTCGATTTTGTACATTTATCATGCTTTTCACATTTATTTTAGTACAGTATAAGAATTACAAGTTGCTTTAATTTATTTCCTACTGTGCACTCATCGCGCGTTAACTACGCCTTACTCCAACATAAGACATTTAACCATGAGTTCCGTAAGAAACTTGGGCGGAAAAGCTTTCCCGATATGCGGCTTCAAAAGGCTGATTGTTTCATCCATACTCTATGCATATTTCGGTAGTGCCAGCAACCTGGCGTTCAATATAATTATTGTCGTAATCTTGTTTTTCTTCCTTTTGGACTGAGTTCTTACATCTATTTCAGTTGACACAATTTTGAAAAAAGGGGCCTTCATAGGAGTCGAACCTACACAACAGGGAGGGCTTTTGTGAAGCCAACGCTCTACCATTGAGCAACGAGGCTCCCCGTGAACCGGGATTTTGTGAACACTTGGATCAATTTTACCCGCCCAATTTACCACTCGTATGCAATCCATCATTATGGAACACCAAGCTGACTGCCTAGGCAGAATCTCCTAAGCTATCATCTATAACTCATCAGAATGACTACTAGCCTTACTTAACTATTAGAGCAATTTAACAGTTTTTTACATTTCAGTTGACCCAATTTTGAAAAATTCGCGGCATACGAATCCTCCAGCCCATGAACTGACAACAAATAGAAGTACAATTATAATTGATAACTACAAGTTATTCCATTTATAAGCATCCGAAATTTACACGTTCGCCATTCGGACGCATACAAAAACTACTTGCCTGTGTTTTAATTCAAATCACCCTGTACCTTAGCAGGGAGTTGGCTGAGTTATTTCCCTTTGATTTTTGATGCAATTATACCCTCGAATATTCGGCTGAGTCAAATGTCAAAAATCCTCGGAGTCGTGGAAGTCGAAACCACACAGCAGAGGAGAATTTTACACATCCAAGCCTCTACCACTGAGCTATGAGGTTCCCTGTTCGATATGAATTAAATCATATTTGGATCGATTTTACCCGCCAAATTACTGTTCTTATAGAATCCACAACTACAGAAGAGTAAGCTGACTGCCCAGATATGAGTTCCTAAGCAGTCCCCTAAAATCCAGCAGAATCACTACTAGGATCACTTAATTGTTAGGGGTGTGTGGCAGATATGCATAATTCAGTTGAACTGCTGTTGATTTGCGAGTTTATTCATAATTGGGTCCATTGAATTATTCAAATGTGTCAAACCTTCCTACTGGGCTTTATAATTTTTCTTCTCCGTCCTGATTCCTTCCGTCTGGTTTTAAACAAATTTCAAATGTGCACCCAAAGACTAAAAATGTTCTGTATTTTCCATTTAAAAATCAACGCTTCTGGAGCGCGTGGGATGTTTCTCATTATTGTTGCCTATTACTATTCACTATGTACCATCGGAATTGTCTTCCTTACTTGTGAATATTAAATCGTGTTCGGCTGTTTGCTAAAGTCGACATATGTCTATCGGCACCTACACCTTGCAAGTGCATGACGGCACAGGCCTCCGCTCGTCAGTATTTTGGTTCGTACTGTCATCGCTGTGCACAGATCAAGTAAACTTTGTGCATCAAATTTATTTTAAATAGATGGTGGCCCTTTAAGAAAACGTTTCCTTTACGTTCATCAAGGGATATAAAATAAGACGTAAAATCAGCGCACCA